CTGCCTCCGAGAGAGCAGATGACCACCGCGCCCGGCGCGGCCCAAGGCACGGCCGCCGGCACAGGGCACGACCGACTTGCGACAACAACAGGAGCACCGCAAGGCAAGGGCTCGCCGCTCTGCCCCGCCTTCACCCCCCACGCTCGCAACGAGGCAGGGCGCGCAAGGGCATGCGCGTGCGATGCTCGACTGCTTCGCGCAGCCGGCGGAGCGCATGGCTTGCCAGGAGGCGGCAGGCACGGCGGAGCTCTTCCGCCCGGAGGAGGCTTTCAAGAAGGGCGGCGGCCAGGGCAGGGTGACGGCGCACATGCTCTTGAACCCGCCGCTCGCGAGCCCGTTCGACAGCACGGCCCTGCGCGCGAGGGTCCAGAAGAAGAGGGCCGCAGGGAATGCCGCCGCCTACAGCGCTCGAGAGGGCGCTACAGAAGCACCTGCAGGACTGTCTAGATGAATAGCAGACCGCCCAGCGCTGGGCAACACGGACGTCAACATGCCCAGAGAAGGGTTGCGACGTCTTGCTGCAGCTGGATAGGCATGAGTTCGTGAGTTGGTGCGCCAGCGTCGTGGGCGCAGCAGGCCATCATGAGGAGGTTTCGCCAATTCTGTTCAGAGATGGCGGGATTCCTCCTCGCTCTGCTCCCTCCCGCCTCGTTGTCCTCCGAGCGTCGTTCTTAGTTTGCTCGTCTTTTCCCTTCGCCTCTCGCTCTTGCACTCACTCTCCGCCAGCAGAATTAACATATGATCCCAGGATGGCGCTAGTGGCCGGTCGGCCATGCGCGCCTCAATTGCTCGCATATCCACATTGGCCACGCACGTGAGCTAAAGAGGACTTCGGCAAGCCTGGGTGGGCCACTCAAGTCTCTCAGGCGTGCTTACAGTTTTCCATTAGACTTCCCTTAGTATTTCAAGTATTCCAGTTGAACTAGGAGGTGCCCCACAGGAAAATCCAGAGCTGCCCAGGCATCGTTCCCTCGCTCGGAGGGAGGAGGAGGAAGACGAGAGAGGAGAGGGAGAGATGAGGAGGAGGGGGGGCACAAGACGGAACCCCAAACGCAAGATGCCCAATAGTTTTAGGCCCTGCCACTGGATCCACGATCCTCTTCCCCTGGGCCGCGACGACGACGGCGAGTGGACGGCGACGTGGGCGACGGCGGCCACTGAGCGGCGGCGGCGACCACGACGGCTGGGAAACGACGACGACGACCTGGGACGACATGGGCGACGAGGACGACGGCGGCGGCGACGAATGGGCTGCGACGGCCGCGACGACTGCGCGACGACGGCGGCGACGCCGGCGACCCGAGCGGAACCGCCCCGTCGCCCCGCCGCGCGCACGTGCCCCGCCTGCGCGGGCCACGTGGCCTCGCGCGCGCGCCCATGGCGGCGCGGGCCGCGCGGCGGCCGGGGCTGCCCAGGCGACCGCCGCGGCCCCGCCCGCTCTGCGGTCGGCGACTGTGGATGGGGCACAGGGGCACACGAAGAAATATGCACAGATCACAGGATTCCCCCATGCTTCTTCTGCGTTCAGGGACTTTGCCTTCCCCCCCCCCACTTCCCACATGTTTCCCACATCTCCCCGGGGTTCGACGATGGATTGTGTCTGTCTGTCTTTCCCCTCCTGATACGGTCAAGCCGAAGCGGGACCCCCACCGCCCAACCCGATGGCGAGTTGGGGAAGATTCCGCAAGCCGGCGCCACGCCACAGGGCCACGGGGACTCGTGGCTGGGGCAGGCTTCCAGGACGTGCGCTCGGGTGCGGTCGGGCTTCGGTCGGCCTGGCCACTGGAAGGAGTGACCCTTCGCAGGAGTGACCTTTCGCGCGGGCCCGCCAGGTTCCCCCCGATCTCTGGTTGCGTTGCGATAGCGGCGGTGTGTGTGTGTGTGTGTGTGTGTGTGTGTGCTTGGGTCTGGTTTTGCCAAGGGTACTCTTGCGTGTAGCCAATGTTCGAGGAGGACCGACGACCCAGGATCGATCTGGGGTCGAGGTTCGAGGATTCACTGCCGCAGTCCCGCCAGCTCCTTCCGCCACGAAGGAAAGGCGTCTCCACTTTATGTTTTTGGACGTTTCCACGAAAAAAAGGCATCGAAGGGCGATCGAGGTTCGAGGATATGTTTTTGACGTTTCCACTCTTTCGGGACCCCCGCGTCTCCGTCGCCACGGCTGGATATCCCTCGAACTCCCGGTCAGAATGCATCCCAGCACGGGTCCGCGGGTCGATTTTGAGTGGAGAACGGCAAGGCGAGTTGGGAACGGGGAGGGGCGAAATCTTCCGCTTGCGGCTGATTTCGGATCTGCCGCCAGGCATTTTCTTTTATGGAGGGAGCAAGAAAACACACAATAACGATCACACGCACAGATTTGTACAGTACCACCCACGCACCATGAGTCCGACTACAAAGACTCCCCCTCCTTCCTCCCCCATGCCTCGCGCAATATTGTATTGCCTCGCAGCCCGCACGCATGCTGTCCATAGGGACTGCACTTGCGCTTCGCGCCATGCTCCTTGGTCCTTGAAGTTTAGCGTGCAGGCGAAATGAAAAAGAAGTCAAACTGATGACTTAGCGATAACTCCTTGTTGCCTTTTCTGGCATCGCCGTTATAATAATATGATTCGTTATCCCTCAATGTTTCTTTTTCCTCGTTCTCGCCCTACCACGCGTAACTATTCTCCCCATCCTCCTCAGTCAGCTCTTCTCGCGGAGGCTCCTCCTTGGAGAGCCTCTGGGGGCTTCACTGAAGTTTTTCAGGGTTTCTTTAGACCTTCTGGAGGCCTCCTGGGCGTCGTCTAGGGCCTTCTGGAGGCTTCCTTGGGCCACCTTACCTCGAACCGCGGCATCCTCGAACGACCGGGTCACGATTTGGAATGTTACGGAGGGTGTCTTGGGACCATTTTGGGCCGTCATGGGGCTCTCTGAGGCCATCTTGGCACCCTGTTGTGCCGTTTTGTGGCTCTCTTTGGCTGCTCGGAAGCCCTTTCGGCTGGTTGCGGGACGATTTTCGAGCCTCCCAGGTGGTACGCCCAGAAGACCGCCGTTTTGAAGCGTCGGGAAGCCGAGAACCCCCAAATTTACCGTGCGGGGGGGAGGCCCGCATTTCGATGCGGGACGGGAGATCCCGCACGGGGGACGGGATCGCGAGCTCCGGTCGTGATCTCTCCCGCGGCACAAGTGGGCCTGGGGGAGCCCAAACAGTGTGGTGGCCACCGCGTGTGATGATCGGCGGCGAGCGAGGGGGGCAAGTGAGAAGGAGAAGGCCCTCGCAGAAAGCAGCGGGGCTTCTCAGAAGCCCTCGCGCCTTCTGAGAAGTGTTCTGCGTATTCGGGGAAGGCTCAGAAAAGTTCCCGGATGGCGCGGGTGCGGAGCTCCCGCGCCTTCCGCGAAGGCCCGCCCCTTCTCACTTCCCCCCGGGCTCGCCGCCGAGATGAGTCAGTGGGAATACAGGGTGGCACGCTTTGAAGTCGGTGATGTTCTGGTATGAACTGCATGTGGGGGCCACTCAAGACCCATGATGCGATAAGAGCAACCGCATCTGCTACATCTCAGAGACGGCGGTTCCGTCGAGCTCCAAAAAGAGAAGCACACGAACACCTATTCCAACTCGAGTCGGCCGCACGGTTTGGGGACTCGGCCCCCAAACGGTGCGGTGGCGGAGCGTGCGGTGGGGGCTCTGCGGATGTCACGGTCTGTCGCTGGGGCCGTGCCAGAGAGGCCTCGCGTGCGGCGCGGCTCGCCGTCGGCGGGAGCCAGCGGAGGGCGGCGGAAGAAGAAGGGAGTCGTCGGTACGTTTGGGTTCGGATGTTCTAGCCTAGGCTTAAGTCGGGCACGTCCCTCTACAGGAGGAATCTTCCAAAATAGTCAAACAACAAATAGTCCGGGGTGACTGTTTGAATTATGTTTGAATTGAGTATGTTTGGAGCTTTTGTTTTTTTTTATTTGTCCTGCAAGATCCCCCTGTAGGGGGACGGGCCCGACCTAAGTCTAGGCGTCCTAGGTGGGGTCGGAGTAGGTGGGGTCGGAGGATCGCGCCGCATCGCCGATGCATCGACGATGCGGCTCGACACGGAGCCCGATCTTCTCTGCGCCGCCGAGGCATCGCCAGGGCAGGCACGAGCCTCCGACCGCCCCTGGTCGGACCCCAAATTTAGGAGGCCTCCCCCTCCTCCTCCTCCTCCTCCTCCTCCTCCTCCTCCTCCTCCTCCTCCTCCTTATGTTTGGGTTTGGGTGTTCTGGGGTCGCTCGCAGACTGTGTTGGCCGCCATGGGAGGCAAGGGTCTTCGGGGAGGCGGGTCTCGGTGTCCTCTGGCCGTTCTGGGCCTCTCGAGCCCCGGGCCCCTGGGCCGTCATAGCTCTTCAAGGGTCCAGGGCTCGTTTCCACCAGGGCCCTTGTAATTCATGACAGATGCTCCATAACGTGCGTTGAATTTGATCACTCACTCTCGCTCTCTCTCTCGCTCTCTCGCTTGTTGTTGTTCGTGTGTTTATCTCTCTCTCTCTCTCTTGTTGTTTCTCTCTCTCTATGTATGTTGCGCGCGCGCTCTCTCTCTCTCTCTTCTCTCTCTCTCTCTCTATTCCTCTTTCTCTGTAGGTTTCTTCTTGCGCGACCGAGTCCAATAGTTTCCGGGAGCGAATGCTGACTGCGAAGTCGCTTCTCCCGACATGATCATTCCCCTCGCTCCCGCGCATCGTCGCCCCCCTTCGCCCATCATCCTCATCATCATCTCCCTCTTTGCCTCGCTCCTCCTCCTGCTCCCTTTGTGCCTCAGTCTTCCATCTTTGCATCACTGCTCATCCTTCTCCATCACTGCCTCACTAACTCTGTTTTTTGAATCACTCTTCTTCTTGTTCTTATCACCCTCATTATTTTGACTTTCTCTCTCTCCCCGTCTCTCTGTCTGTTGCTCTCTCTCTCTCTCTACCTCTGTGTCTTTTACTCCTTTGCCCCTAATTACACCCTGCCCTCTCCTCCTCCCCCCGCGCCCCTACTCCTTCGCTCCCTCTGTAGCCATATTGTATGGCTTTCGGCAGGGCCGCGCCATGTGCGGCCTAGCCACTTGAGTAGTTTTTTGGGAGTGTAGATAGGGCAAGGTCAGGGGCTCCGAAAGAGGCAGGCGAACGCGACCGAGATTTGAGCCGTCATGCGAAGAGCTTTCCGGCTCCGAAGTTGAGCCTGGAGCACAGTCGAACAGCGAAAGCCAATCAACAGCCGTAGGTGTTGAATATTGCTTCCTCGGGGCCCCTGGTAAGCAAGTTAAGTGTTTGCGCGTGCAATGCACCGCCATGAGATCTTACGGCTTGCAGAAGAGGGTGGCGACAGCAGCGATGGTGTTGGCTCCAAGCGCAGAAGTGATGTTGCGCCCAGCTTCATTGCAGCTGGCGCGACCCGCTGTCTTCTGGCATGCGCCCTGGCCGCGGCCTCCAGCTCGCTGACCGCGTACTTTGCTGCGACGGTGCACCGACCAGCGACGGCCCGTTTAGGGCACGGCGCCACGATCACGCTGGAGAAGCTAGAGTTTTCCACGCGGCCTAACACAGGCTGTGACAACTGGAGGAGCATCGTCGTGATCAAGGACAGCAAGCCGACCGCCGAGGAGTGCTACGGCGTCTGCGCCAGCACCGACGGCTGCCGGAGCGCGGGGTACCAGACGAAGGACTGCCCCGGGAACGGACTGCAGCAGGGCAGCTGCTTCATTTACGGCGGCGACTGCGAGACGACGGACGACGACTGCTGGGATCTGGCTCCCCCGGGACCGCGCACGCCTCGCCCGCGTCCCCTTCCCGCCCTCCTCCTGCCCGCGGGGGGAGGCAGGGCACGGGTGGAGCTCGACGCGGCGGGGGCGAGATGGCCCGGGAACGTGCTCGAGAGGGGGCTGCGACGACAGAGGATCGAGCATGCAGGGATCGAGGATGCGGGGATCGAGAATCGAGGACTCGACGATCATCGAGGATCGAGGAGCTCGGATGGTCCCCTCGTGGCCCCTCGCGGTGGTCCCGGCCGCCTCCCCTCCGGGTGGCGGGGTCGGCCTGCGACCGTGCAACAGTCGCTGGGCGTCTTTCGCTAATTTGCGTGGTCCTATTTGAGCCCGTTGCTTGTCCCCGAGGATTCCTTTCACACCTTATCTGTGCGGGTCCTACACAGCCTGTCTAGGGCCGGAGGCGCGCCAATCCGGATCTGGACTCGCAGATCATGGCTCGTGGTCTCCCCTTTAGGTCTCAAGTACTCCAGATTAAAGGGAGGGGGTCTGGACCCTCCAAGACAAGCCATTTCAGACCTCCCCCGTGGGAGAACCCTACGAAACATCGTCCCCAGACCCCCCCAGGCCCTCCAAGATAGCCTGGAAGAGACCCCCCCCGAAATGAGACCCCCCTCCCTTTATTACGAAATCTGGAGTACAGAGTCCGTTATGGTCTCCCAAATAGCTTCCCGTCGGGTCTCCCGTACGCCACACGGCCGCCCGTATCGTCTCCCGGGTGGTCTCCCGTGTGGTCTCCCGGATGGTATCTCCCGCGTGTTTTTTTCCGTGTGTCCCTCCGCGCATTTTTCCCGTATGGTCTCTTGGGCGATTCCCGCATGGTCTCCCGCCTAGTATCCCGTATGTTCTGCCGTCTGTTCTCGCGAATGGTATGCCGCAGTGTCTCCCATGTAAGATCCCATCTGGTCTCCCATATGGGCCTGCCGTGCGGCCTTTTTGCATGCGATTCCGTATGGTCTCCCGCAAGATCTCCAGTATGATCTCCCGTGTGGTCTCGCGAATGTGTTCCCTTCTGTCCTCCCGTATGATGTCCCAAATGGTCCCCCGTATGGTCTTCCGCACGGCTTTTTGCATGGTCTTCCGTATGGCCTCCGAGGAGTGGGACTTGTGGAGGTGTGCCTCCCTCTCGCGGCGCCCCGCTCGGCCCCGCCTCGTGGCGCCTCAAGTCTCCAGGTCGGGGGGACACCGCGGACCTCCTCGCGGGAGGCGGCCCGCTGGTGGTCGCTTGTGTCGCTTCGCTTCCCGCCCGACAGGTTTCGCCGCCGGAGCCCGAGCCCGAGGATCGGGCCGGACGAAAGGGGGGATTGGGGAAGGGAGGGGTTACGAAATCTGCTGCATGAAGCTGGTTTCGGCCCCACCGATCGGGGCCCATTCCTCGACACATAGCCGCCTCCGGCGCCGGGAGGCGCCGGGAAAATCAGCCACGTGAGCCGATTCTCAAGCCCCCCCTTTGCTATCCCCCCCCCTTTCGCCCGACCCGAGAGGGGCCCGAGGAGCCCGAGGGGCCCGAGGAGCCCGAGCCCGAGGCCACGACCTCGCAGCAGCCGGCCGAGGCCGCCGCGCGGGCCCTGCGCCGCCCCGGAGAGGCCTTCGACGCGCCGCCGGCCGAGGCCGACACGCCGGCCCGCCGCCCCGGAGAGGCCTTCGACCCGCCGCCGGCCGAGGCCGACGCGCAGTCCCATGCGGCCGAGGCTGCGGGCAGTACTTCCGGGCCTCCCAGATGGGGTCGGAGCAGATATGGGGTCGAAGGATCGCGCCGCATCGCCGACGCAGCGGCGAGGCGGCCCGTTGCGGAGCCCGATGATTTCCTTCGCGCGGACGCCGCCGATGAGTCGCCGACGTGGCAGATGCATCGCCGGTGCATCGCCGATGAATCGCAGATGCATCGCCGATGCATCGCCGATGTATCGCCGATGCGGCGCGATCGTCCGACCCCATCTACTCCGACCCCATCTGGGAGGCCTCTAGTGTCGAGGCGCTGAAGAAGGAACCCTGTTCGTTGGGGAGGGGCTCGGTGTTTCACAGCTTGCCTCAGGTTTTCCTTTTGTTTCCGATGGGGAATCGAAGGTGAACTTATGGAAAAAAGGGGTCTCGTTCCTTATTTAGGGTTCCTTAGGTCAACGCCCCGGCTGTATATCTATATCCAGAGCGTCGTGGACTTTTCGGGAAGAGGTGCCGCAACGCCGAGGCGCACCGGATATGGATAAAAGCAAGCTTCTTGGGGCCAGATGTTTATCCATATCCTGTGTGTCTACGGTTTCTGGGGAAGAGAGCCCAAGAATCCAAGACGCACTGGATGTGGATATAACTATTGCCCGCAGAGGCCGCCCCGCCGGACTCGGACACGGCTACCGCGAACAAGACCACCCCGCACACGGCCGGCTTCGGCTGCGGGAATTGGAGACCTATAGGGGGTCAATTGCGAGGTTTGAGGATCGATTGTCCGAGGTGTTCTAGTCCTGCTTGTTTGCTCGGGCCTACGGCGTCTCGTCGCTCTGGTTGGATCTCCTTCGAAGTTCTGGTCAGGACGTACCCATTGGTAGGTCCAGGGTCGTCTTTTGACCGCCAATCCCAAACCTCGCGTGCTGACAAAATCAAGACGGAAGGTTTCTGACACTGTTCTACCTCAGGAGGCTTTCCCCGCCCCCCTGGACCGTCGACAAAACGACGCAGGATGAAAGGCCCGTCCAGAGGACGGGCTGGAGACTTCCGGGGGTGCGCGTTGTGACACCCACCCCGACGGCGAGGGCCTGGGCAGGGAGGAGGTGCGTGTAAGCATCGCTCGAGTTGCAGAGCACTGCGGAGCGCTCGGGAACGGCCGCGGCGCCAACACACATACGTCCTCCAGACACGAGGGCTCCTGGAGGTTGCATGCCTTCCAGGTGTTGCCCCCTCCCTGCCGCCGTGTCCCACAGTACGCCGCCAGCAGGCCTGCTGGGCCTGCGAGCCCGTGCCCTGCGTCCCTCCCTGGCTTTGAGAGGAGCGCTGCAGCGCGGCACAGGCGGAGGCTTTACCTCGAGGGTATGCATCCCAGGTGCGGCGAAGATGCTGTGCTACTCGCTGGCTGGTCGATGTCACGCCGTGCGTCCGTCCCCGAGGCGCCTGTTGCCACACAGGCCAGTGGGTAGCGTTTCGTTGCCAGCCGATTGCGCTGCAGTCACCACGCACGGAACGGAACAAAAAGAAAAACGCCGTCCCACATCGAGCGCAGGGCAGCTGGCGAGGCTGACCAAGGTCCCTTCCTCCTCCAGTTCGCCCCGTCTGATCCCCCTGTCTTGGGGGAGCAAGGAACGGCACAGCCGCAACCTTCCGAGGTCGGTATTCTTGAGACGGGGGTCGACGCAAACGGGGGTCAGCCAGAGCGCCAGATCTTGCAGGATCCTGCAGAGCCAGGGGTGCACTGACCCGAGCTTGCAGCCTGCAGGGTTTTACAGGATCTTGCAGAACTGGACTGACCCGGAAGGCGCTGGCATGGCTCAGTGCGTCCCCGACGAGGTCCGCGCGGAGTTCTTGACTTAAGTCGGGCGTGTCCTTGTACAGGAGGACGATTCTAAAATAGTCCAGAAATAGTCAGGGGACGACTTTTTGACTATGTTTGAGCATGTTTTGTTGATTACTTTTAGTTTTTCGTCCCAAATCTGCCTGTAGGGGGACACGCCCGACTCAATTCTTGAGTCGGCACCCGCTCGGGTATAACCAGGATCCCAGGTAGGGTAGTGGTAGGGCTCTGGAGCCCCTAAATTCGGGCCAGACACTGAACCAGGTCTGCCGTAGATCGTGTTTTCTCGGGTGACGGCAGTTCCGGTTGGTGGAACAGGGGCGGGGAGGGCGCCCCCCCCCTGCTAAACTCGGGGGTGGACAGACCTCCTACCCTGACACGTCGATTCAGGAATTGGCCGTTTTCGGTTTGCGAGAGGGCGTCGCGGCCGTCATTCTTGCGGGTCCAGGTCCGTCGGTTTCGGTCCCAGGCCGTTTTCACTAAGGGGAGGTCTACCAAAGGGATGTTTGCCCCCCCCGCGAAACCCAGTTTTGCCAACGCCCGCTCCGCGCCCCGTCCGCCGGCGCGCTCCCTGCCGGAGGCGCCGCGCGCGGCGTGCGGCTGGCCCCTTCATTTCCACCGTGCGCCGGCGCAGCACCGGCATGCATATGCTGCGGGACGGGGAAATGACCACAGCCACTGCTTCTTGTTTGCGCCGCCTTCGAGCTGGCCGAAAAAAATGCAGTGGTTGTGGTCATTTCCCTGGTGCCAAGCTTAACGAAAATGACCACAACCACTGCTTTGTTTCTGCTGGCTGGAAGGCGGCAACAAAAGAAAAGCAGTGGCTGTGGTCGTTTTCACGTCCCGTATATGCACAGGTCGGGGGCGGCAAAATGGGGGCATGCGTATGCACTGGCCGAGGGTCCTTGCCGAGCACAGGTCGGGGGCGGCAAGGAGAGGGGTGATGACTGGGGGGGGGGATAACATGGCGTGGGCCATGATATATCCCCAGATTTCACGGTGCCTCTTCCTGTTCCATGAGGTCCTTGGACCCCTCTTGAGCCGCGCACATGCCGTCGGCCACGATTTGCGCCCTCCCCCCTCTTGGACGCCCCCCTCTTGGCCGCCCACGAAACCAGGTGCTGTTCGTCAAATGAGAAAACAACAACAGCATCAGCAACAACAACAACATCAGCAACAACAACCACAACCACAACGACCACCACCACCACCACAGCCACAACCACAACCACAACCATAAACAGCAGCAGCAACAGCAGCAGCAGCAACAGCAAGCACGGTCCGCCCCCCACGTTGCACGCCCCACTCCGGCGGAGCAGGCGGCTCTTTCGGCCTCAAGCGGCCTCGAGAGCACCCAGGAGGAGGAGGAGGAGGAGGAGGAGGAGGAGGAGGAGGAGGAGGAGGAGGAGGAGGGGGAGGAGGAGGCGGAGGAGGAGGAGGAGATCGAAACGGAAAAACAGCAAAAGCACACCGTCGGCGCTCCGCGCGGCTTTCCTGGCTCGGCACCCTCCCCCCCCCCCCCTGCTGGCGCCTCCAGGTGCGCTCCGCGCGAGAGGGGCGGTGCGAGAGGCGCTGCCCGGGGGGTGCCCAGCGCCGAGGCAAGAAATGAAGTCCGCGCGGAGCGCCGAAAGTGCATGTTTCTGTTGTTTTTGTTTCCCTCTGTCCACTCAGGAAGGAAGCGCACACGCAGACACATCAACGTCGATGCCCAGGAATGGATTGGAAAAAGTAACTGTGGGAAGCGAAGGGGAAGACGAACATCGATAAGATATTGGGAGATATTGGGGGTTATGGGATTTGTGCTTATTTCTTTGCGTGTCACAGGGCCTCCTTACCCTGGGCTGCGAAGCAGGCGCCCATGGAATTACTGGAGGCTTCTTCCTCCTCCTCCTCCACGGTCCCGTCCTCGGTGTAGTGCAGTTTCTTTGCGTGTCACTGGGCCTCTTTACCCTGGGCTGCGAAGCAGGCGCCCATGGAATTACCGGAGGCTTCTTCCTCCTCCTCCTCCACGGTCCCGTCCTCGGTGTAGTGCAGGGAAACGATTAAACAAAATCGCCCCGGACCCCCCAAAATGATTGAGTGGGGCGGACTAATAGAATTCAGCCGCCGGCAACTGTTGTTTTAATCGTCCGCCCCCCGGCGTTTGCTCTTGCCCCTTTGGGGGAACTGATTTTCTATTCGTCCTCCTTCGCTCGCTTGATTACCCGCGGCCGCGGGGGGAGGATTGCGGAGGGGGGACGTGGTAATTAGGGAGTAGTTGAGGGAAGGGGTCTTCGAAGAGGCGCTTGATCACCCTCGTCCTTGCGGACGGCCGCCGGTCGTCCTTGCGGACGGCCGCGGCGATTGGGAGGTGATTGGGAGGTGGGGGATGAGGAGGAGGAGGAGGAGGAGGAGGAGGAGGAGGAGGAGGAGGAGGAGGAGGAGGAGGAGGACGAGGAGGACGAGGAGAAGGACGAGGAGGAGGCGGAGGAGGAGGAGGACGACGAGCTCGCCCTGAAAAATCACCCCGTCCACCCCCCTGGCCCCCGCGCCCTGGATCGCCACCCCGTGCCCCCCCCCTGGCCTTCCAGGCAACCCGGCAGTGTCAGCCCTCCGTCAGCCTGCCCTGCCCCCCCGCTATTGCGGGGGCGAGGAGGCCCGCGAAACATTTTTTTATCGTCCGCCCCAGAAATTTTATTTTAATCGTTTTCCTTCATTAATCTCGGCCCGCTTTCGTGCACGAGCCAAGGATTCACGTATTCCGGTGCCACCCACTGCTTGTGATAGGGGGTGCGATTGTCTTGCGTTGAACAAAATACAAGCAAAAATAAGAGGCCGGCTCGCCAGCAGGTGCTTCACAGAAGTGTCCTGTCCCTAGTGACCCCAAGGAGCCACAGAAACATTGGGGCACATTCGGTGCGGGAAGTAGTTATATCCACATCCAGTGCGTCGTGGAGTTTGGGCCCTCTTCCCCAGAAACCTGAGGCGTACTGGATGTGGATGGAAATCTGGCCCCCGAAGGCTCGATTTTGACCCATAACCAGTGCGCATCGGCCTTGCGGCACCCTTTCCCGAAAAATCCAAGACGCTCTGGGTATGGACATACGTACTGCCCGCAAGTGGGGCCATCGAAGATCGACGAAGAGTGTAGCCCAAGGCTTCCAGGAGCAAGGCTTCTCCTCGTATGGGGCCACTGTGCAGAAGCGAAGATTCAGTTGTTGATCGCTTCCAGTTGCTTCCAAGGCGCTCCGCCGCCCCATGTGCCCTCGGGAGCATCCGAGAGGGCCCCAAGACAGCCAGCCCCAGAGCGCCAAAATTAGCCCCCCAGAGCGCTACAAAAAAACATGGTCCAAGGGTGTCCGGAGACGGCTCTAAGACAGCCCAGGATACCCTCCAGAGGGCCCAAGACGGTCCAAGAGAGCCCCGAGATGGCTAAAGACAGCGCGCCCATCCAAGACAGCCCAAGGGAGGCCCCAGAGGGCCCCAATACGCTCGAAGATGACCCAGAGGGTCACAAGAGGTCCCCACGAGAACCCGAGAAGACCCCGACACGCCCGAAACGAGGCACCCAAGAAACCACGAAAGAGTCCCGAGACTGCTTGAAAAGCAACGCGCCGTTCGATTGCACCAATACAGCACCCTGGTAGCAGAAGGCTGATGCTCCTTCGTCCGACACGGCCTGCCCCGTGCGCGCCGCCGAGGGCCTCTCGGATCTCAACGGCAGGCAGACCGGGCAAGAGGCCGGCTTGCCGGCAGGAGGCCCTTGGGAGGTCGCGCGTCCCCCGAGGGCCGTGGGAGCCCACGGGGGGTCCTCGGGGCACCCCCGGGAAGGGGCATCGTGGACGACGCACGTGCGCTCGGCTGCTCACACAGCAAGGTTCCTAAGCGCACCACGCTTGCAGCCCTGGGTCGCAGTGCGCGCGCGAGCCGCTCAGCGGGGGGGGGCTCGAGAGCGGCATCTGGTTTTCGTCCCGCACCGCGCGTAAACGGGCCTGCTGTGCTCATCGGGCGTGCCTGCCACCTCCCGCCCGTCCTCCAGGAGGAGTTTCCAGGTGGGCAGCTTTCACAAGGGGCTCTCCGCCGACGAGTGCGGCGAGGAGCTCGAGGGGGCGGGGCCTCCACTCAGGGCCACACTCGGTTCGATCCCGATCTCGGCTGTCTCGATCCGATCCGATTTCCATGCTCCGTCGATCCGACGCGGCACGACGCTTCAACGGCGCAGTGACTCATCTTGGTGCTGCCGACTCGTTTCGTGTTCGACCCTGTGCCGATGCATCCCGACTCGACGCACTTTCCGACGCGACATCCGACTCAGCGATCCGATGTTGATTGTTCTTGCCCTTTGGCGCGACAGTGCGGACACCCTCCTTTGCTCCCGCCAGCCGGAGGGTCGTAGCCGGGCGGGGCCAGGGCTGGGCTAAGTCGTCCCAGAGCGCTTTGGAGCGGCCGCGGCGCTCGCTGCGTCCGCCAGAGCCACCGGATCGCAAAGATCCATGCTGTGTCCTGGCCCGATGTTGTCTTGGCCTTGGCCTCGTCTTGCGTAGCGCGGGGGGCGCAGCCCCGGGCGGGGTCGGGGGAGCCGTCGATCTGGGAGTCGGTGCTTCTCTCGTCCAGGGGGCCGTGCGTCGCGCTGTTTCGTCTTGCACGTGGCCCTGCGAGGGAGCGGGGCGAGGGGCGCAGCACCCCCTGGAAGGCTGGGGGGGGGGCCTCTTGGCGGGGATCGGGGGCGTGTGCAGCGACGCTTCCTGGGAGGCAGAGGGGGGGGGTCTCAGCAGCGCCCCTCGCTTCCTGCAAGGCTGCCGCCCCCCCCATCGCCCCACCCTCCTTCTCTGCGCGCGCCGCCGCAGGGTGGTCCTGCAGCCCCGTTGCTCGCGGAGGTGGTTGCAGCTGTCGATCTCATGTTTGGTTCGACACTGCGTGGGGGTCCGAGGGGAGAGCTTGCCCAGGAGTGCCAGGCGACCACGGGCTGTCAGTCCTACACCTTCCAGCCGAACGCCGAGTGCGACGGAGACGGTAGCGGCGAGGGAGCCTGCATGCTCTTCGTAGGCTCGGGTTCCTCTTCTTCTTCTTCGTACTATTCGTAGCACAAGCATTCGTATTATCATGATGACTTTTAGCATTACGATTATTAGTATTATTAATTCCATACTGAACATTACTTTTTATCACTACTACTATCATTACTATGTCTGATATACTGCTTCGTCTTATCATTAGTCTCGGTGTTATCATTGTTACCTAACAGCGAAGACTGATAGGTTTCTAGTAGTGTCAAAAGAGAGCATCATGACTCCCCAGGGGGGTCTGGGCGGCATCCGGACAGGGATCCGCGGACGTCGTTTTAAGCAAACAGTTACACACTTCGTGGTCTTCGAGGTCCCAGAACTCCATTCCCGGGCCACATTCTGAATGCCCGGAGCCAACTGTAGGCCATTTCGTGCTCTTCGAGTTCCCAGATTTCCATTCCAGGGCCTCATTTTGAATGCCCGGAGCCAACTGTAGGCCATTTCGTGCTCTTCGAATTCACAGAACTCCATTCCCGGGCCACATTTTGAATGCCCGGGGCCAGTTGTAGGCCACTTCGTGCTCTTCGAGTTCCCAGAATTCCAGTCCTGGGCATGATTTTGAATGCCCGGAGCCAACTGTAGGCCACTTCGTGTTCTTCGAGTTCCCAGAACTCCATTCCTGGGCCACATTTTGAATGATGAGGCAGGCTGATGCTGAGGCTGAGGCAGGCTCAGGCTGAGGCAGGCTGAGGCTGAGGCCGAGGCTGAAGGCAGACTGAGGCTGAGGCTGAAGCAGGCTGAGGCTGAGGCTGAGGCTGAGGCTGAGGCTGAGGCTGAGGCAGGCTGATGCTGAGGCAGGCTGAGGCTGAGGCTGAGGCTGATGCAGGCTGAGGCTGAGGCAGGCTGAGGCTGAGGCCGAGGCTGAAGGCAGACTGAGGCTGAGGCTGAAGCAGGCTGAGGCTGAGGCTGAGGCAGGCTGAGGCTGAGGCTGAGGCAGGCTGATGCTGAGGCAGGCTGAGGCTGAGGCTGAGGCTGACAGGCTGAGGCTGAGGCAGGCTGAGGCTGCGGCCGAGGCTGAAGGCAGACTGAGGCTGAGGCTGAAGCAGGCTGAGGCTGAGGCTGAGGCAGGCTGAGGCTGAGGCTGAGGCTGAGGCAGGCTGAGGCTGAGGCTGAGGCTGAGGCTGATGGCTGAGGCTGAGGCAGGCTGAGGCTGAGGCCGAGGCTGAAGGCAGACTGAGGCTGAGGCTGAAGCAGGCTGAGGCTGAGGCTGAGGCAGGCTGAGGCTGAGGCTGAGGCAGGCTGATGCTGAGGCAGGCTGAGGCTGATGCTGAGGCAGAGGCAGGCTGAAGGCAGGGCTGAGGCTGAGGCTGAGGCTGAGGCTGAGGGCTGAGGCTGAGGCTGAAGCAGGCTGAGCTGAGGCAGGCTGAGGCTGAGGCTGAGGCTGAGGCTGAGGCTGAGGCAGGCTGAGGCTGAGGCGGCTGAGGCTGAGGCTGAGGCAGCTTGAGGCTGAGGCTGAGCAGGCTGAGGCTGAGGCTGAGGCAGGCTGAGGCTGAGGCTGAGGCAGGCGGAGGCTGAGGCGGAGGCTGAAGGCAGACTGAGGCTGAGGCTGAAGCAGGCTGAGGCTGAGGCTGAGGCAGGCTGAGGCTGAGGCTGAGGCAGGCTCAGGCTGAGGCTGTGGCAGGCTGAGGCTGAGGCCGAGGCTGGAGGCAGACTGAGGCTGAGGCTGAAGCAGGCTGAGGCTGAGGCTGAGGCAGGCTGAGGCTGAGGCTGAGGCAGGCTGATGCTGAGGCAGGCTGAGGCTGAGGCTGAGGCTGATGCAGGCCGAGGCTGAGGCAGGCTGAGGCTGAGGCCGAGGCTGAAGGCAGACTGAGGCTGAGGCTGAAGCAGGCTGAGGCTGAGGCTGAGGCAGGCTGAGGCTGAGGCTGAGGCAGGCTGAGGCTGAGGCTGAGGCTGAGGCTGAGGCTGGTTCAGGCTGAGGCAGGCTGAGGCTGAGGCTGAGGCTCATGCAGGCTGAGGCTGAGGCAGGCGGAGGCTGAGGCCGAGGCCGACGGCAGACTGACGCTCAGGCTGAAGCAGGCTGATGCTGAGGCTGAGGCAGGCTGAGGCTGAGGCTGAGGAAGGCTGAGGCTGAGGCAGGCGGAGGCTGAGGCCGAGGCTGAAGCCAGACTGAGGCTGAGGCTGAAGCAGGCTGAGGCTGAGGCTGAGGCAGGCTGAGGCTGAGGCAGGCTGAGGCTGAGGCTGAGGCAGGCTGAGGCTGAGGCTGTGACTGCGACTGCCGTTGCCACTGTGACTGTCATCTCGAATGCGACTACGACTGCGAGAACAGCAGAATTCTACAACTGGATTCCGATCTGAATCTTAAGGGGAATGCTTCTAGATATGCTCCTACACATCGCTGTTAGGTTGCTTTGCCGGGATAATGTTTATGTTTGTGTGTGTGTTTTGTTCCCTGAACAGTGCTTGCACTCAGGATCTTGCGTCTTATACTGAGGAGTGACGTGGGTCTCCCAAGGTTTCTGGTTGGGTCGCCCAGTGGCCGATGCGTGGTCGCTCGGTGCCGCCCCGTGGCCCTCTGGGTGGCTTGTCTGGGGCCCCCCTGGTGGCATCTTGGAGCGCCACTAGGCGGCGAATGAGGAGGAGGAGAAAGAGAATGAGGAGGAGGAGGAGGAGGAAGAGCAGGAGGAGGAGGGAGAGGAGGAGTAGGAGGAAGAGGAGGAGGAGCAGGAGGAGGAGCAGGAGGAGGAGGAGGAGGAGGAGGCGGAGGAGGAGGTGGAGAAGGAGGAGGACAAGCAAGAGCAGGAGGGAGGACGAGGAGGAAGAGGAGAAGGAGGAAGAGCAGGAGGAGGAGGAGGAGGAGGAGGAGGAGCCCGGGCGCACCGGCGCCCGGTGGCAGATCCAGGTGCCGTGCCAGCGAAGCGCTTTCGAGAGACGCCTGACGGCCGCCACGTGTGACTCCTTGTGTCTCAGCTTCCAGGAGGAGCTCTCATGGGGAAACTATGTGGGTCGCCTTGGGGATGCCTTGGGCTCCTGTGGGGCAGTCTTGGGGGTCCCTTGGGGCCCTCTCATGTCGTCGTGGGGCCGTTTGAGCCTACCGAGCCGTCTTGGGGCTTGCTTGGTCGTGTGGGAGGTCTTCGGGGGTCGTCGTGGGGCCGTCTTTCGGGGTTCTTGGGATGTTTAGGGCTCTCTTGGGCCGTCTTGAGCCCCCACAGAAGCCCTCTTGGGCCAGCTTTCTGCTCTCTTGGGGCTGTCCTGGGCGGACTGGGGGGGCCTCTTGGGGCTCTCAGGGAGCTCTCAGTGGGCTGCCCCTGGGCCCTCGGAGACCGCAGTTGGACCGACGTTCAATAGAAGAGCGCGGAAAGAGCAACGCGCAGAAAAACCTCCCGAACGTCACTGTGTTGGCCTCTCGAGGGCCTCTCGAAGAGCGTGCTGGGGGTGCGGCGGGGCTTCTTGGCGGCCTCTTGGGACCTGCCGGGCGCTTTTTGGTGGCCCCTGGGCGCGTCTCTTCGGCACTGCTGGGCCATCCTGGCGGCCTCGGTGCCCCTCTGGGGCCGCCTCGGAGGCCTTCGAGGAGAGCTCCTTGGAGAGCGCCGAGGCGAGCGTCGGGGCCGCCCAGGGGAGCCCTGCGGGGGAGGCCGCCCAGAGTGCGAGGAGAGGGGGAAGGCACTCGCCGAGCAGAAGCCCTGCCAGCCAGCACATCTGGCACTCTGCCGTGCCGGCAACGCGCCAGGGAGGGGGGGCACCCAAGAGACCCGACGCTCCGACAAAGATTCGAGCGGCGGGCTTTTGGCCGTTTTCGGCTTCTGGGGGGCCCTCGCCGAGGCTCGGGACCGTCCAACAACGGCTCGGGACGAAAAACCGGGCCTGGGGAAGTGGTCCAGACCTCGGCCCAAGCATCGGAAAAGTTGGAGCAGCCCGATGTCTGGGGGACGGAACGTCTGCTCAGCGCGTCTTTATGTTGGTTCGGGCCCACCACGCTTCGACGCGGCACGCCATTCGGGGGCAACGATAGGGGAGGATAGGCATAGGGGGGATGCATCGACCCCCAATCGCCCATTGATCGCCGATAGGGGCCCGATAGCCCCAACCTGCCCATGAAGGTCCGGATTCACGATCGGAGACCTTTCGCCGATCTATCGGCGACGTATCGCCGCTTCCAGGTTGATGCCAGTCCCCCCCGATCGTTGCCCCTCAGCCACAGGCGCGTCCCAGTCCACAGGCGTCAACGTCGTCCCGAGTGTTTCCCAGCCCCCCTGGCACGGGTTGCGGAGCGACACGCTATCCGCTTGCAGGGCAAAGCGTGTCGTCGGGTACGCCGCCAGGCAGCGGTCCCCACCGTGCCCGCCGCGGGCGGCCGCGCGCACGAGCTCTGTGCCTGGCGCCTCAGGGGCCGCCAAGACGCGTGCCAGCCGTGACTGGGCAGCACGTGGCATGCTGCCAGGCATCGCCGCGCCAGGGGGGCACGGTGGCGAGTGCTGGCATCATCCCGGGAGCCTCTGAGGTGGTTGTTCGGGCTTCGGGGCATCCATGGCGGCTCGAAGACTCCTGGGGGTCCTGGGGCCGCTCTCGCAAGGACCACCCGCGCGAAAGCACGGGCTCGAAGTTCATCGCCGGATTTCCCACGTTGCTTGGGAATGGCAGCAAAGGCGCATGTTGGGCCTCATCTCCTCGTGCTTGATGGGTCCGGATAGCGTGAGTCCACGAAGAACTTTGCATGCATGGTGCAACAGTTCTTATCTGATAGCTTCAAAATAAAGCGCTCTCTTCAGGCAAAAACTGTTCCCTGGTACAGGACGACTGCTGGGATTACTACGAGTTGCAGACCCAGGATTCCCATTGTAATAGCGCGGCTCCTCTGGCAGTGCCAGAGACCAGAGCCGAGGTCAGTGCTTGGGCAGCGGACCTGGTTAGCCAGATGACGAATACAGAGAAGTGGACAATGGTCAATCGCTTAGTGGCACACATGAAGAGATGATGCTGAATCGTTCGGATTGTGCCAATAGTGGTTCCTCATTTTATCGATGTGCCTTCATCTCTCTTCCCATCGAGCCTGCCTCTCTGATCAAAGAATCACTAAGGTCAGGGGCACCATGAACAAAGGTTCTTGGGTGGGCATGATTAAGGGTATTCGACGGCTTGGTATACCACCACTGACGATGCAGGACGGACCGCAAGGCTTCCGGACCACGTCGCGGGAGCTTGTCGGCCAAGTGACGTCATGGCCGTGCGCACTCGCTGTTACCGCCACATGGGATGCCAGAGCAATGCGTCGATGGGCTCAGGCGATGGGCCAAGAGTTCAAAGCGAAGGGAGCTAGCATCGCACTCGGCCCAGGTGTCAACGTGAATCGCGTTGCCGTGAATGGGCGGAATGCCGAATACATCTCTGGCGAAGACACTTACCTTGCGTCAAAGTTGGTGGGAGAGTTTGTCCAGGGAATGCAGGGTGAGGGCGTAGCTGCTGTGGTAAAGCACTTTGTGAACAACGAGCAGGAGGACGATCGTACCGAGGTAGACATAATCATTGACGAGCGCACTCTTTGGGAGGTTTATTACCCACCTTTCCAAGCTGCTGTGGATGCCGGTGTTGCCTCGGTGATGTGCTCTTACAACTCAGTGAACGGCCACCCCGCGTGCGAGAACATCAAGACTCTTCAGGAGGACCTCAAGGGAACCATGGGCTTCGATGGATTCGTGGAGAGCTCAGAAGACCCGGTCTTCGGTGTTCGATCATGGGCCCCGGGTGCCATTTGGTCATCCAGCTTTCGCGCGGAAACCGCCCAATGACGGGCGATCACGACGAAAGACCGCCGAAAGACCCCCCGAATACCGCCGAAGGCGGATTCGGCGGCGCGCCCAGGGGGGAAGGCAGTGTACGCGGATCGTTCTCAGAAGGCTCAGAAGGCCTGCAGCCTTCTGAGAAGCTCTCTGGTCCTTCCCCGACGACAGGGGCGGCTGCTCAGAGAGCCGCGGGGGGCCTCCGAGCAGCCCCGCCGCCTCTTGCAGAGGCCCCTGCCCAGCCTCGCCCCGCCCTCGGCGCGCCGCTGACGGATGGGTACAAGGCAAGGGGTCCATGGCCGGACGCGTCACCGGATCCAATCCAAGACCTCCCACGACTCGATCTTTTCGAGGCGACCGCCGCTGGAGCTCACGACCCCCCCCTCACTCGGGCCAGAACCAGAGACGGCCTCCAGGAGCCGAAGATGGCGAAGAACCTCTGTCCCGATGTTCCCGAGTCGCCAGAGTCAGGGTCCCCCGCCTCGAAGTCTTCCCAGGAACCCCAGGCAGACACAAGTCGGCCCAAGAGTGTTCAACACCTCGATCCTCGAACCTCAAGTCGCCAGAACTCTACGTTCATGGATCATATACGGATTCGCGTCCCCACCGCACCGTCGGTGGATCGGGAACGACGGCGTGGATGTTTGGCGTGGCAGCGGAATGCTCTGCGCACCGAGACATGCCCTGCCGCGCCCGACGGTGAGCGGAAAGATTGGGCAGTTGAGCAGCCAGGGTTGAGAACGTGGTGGCAGATCGGGATCGAGGATCGAGGATCGGTTGCCATCAAGATTCTTGATGGCGACCCGGTTCGGTTCATGTCGCTTCGGTTCGGAGAGCCACCCGGTCCTGGTTCGGTTCTGGTTCTGGTTTGGTTCGGTTCCCCCCGGTTCGGTTTTGAACGAATTCGGTTCGGTCCAGGTCGGCTTTTTATTTTTCTTGTTTTGGTCTGGTTCGGTTCGGTTCGGTCACGGTTCTCGGTTCCCGGTTCGGTTTGGCCTTTTTCTTGCAAGAAGCGTGGTGTTAAGCTTTTACCCGTGTTTTGTTGGCTCCCTTGGGCCTTCTCAGAGCAGTCCCGGGACCGTCGAGCAGTTGTTGGCTCGGGCGGGAGCGGTGTTCCTGAAAGGAGCCCTGAGGCCCTGGACCGGCGAGGAGGAGGAAGACGAGGAGGAGGAGGAGGAGGAGGAGGAGGTGGACGAGGAGGAGGAGGAAGAGGAGGAGGGAGAGGAGGAGGGAGGAGAGGAGGAGGAGGAAAGGGAGGAGGAGGAGGGGAGGGGGAGGAGGAGGAGGAGGAGGAGGAGGAGGAGGAGGAGAGGAGGAGGGAGGAGGAGGAGGAGGCGGAGGCGGAGGCGGAGGAGGAGGAGGGAGGAGGAGAGGAGGAGGAGGAGGAGGAAGGAGAGAGCGGAGGAGGAGAGGAGGAGGAGGAGGGGAGGAGGAGGAAGGAGGAGGAGGAGGAGGAGGAGGAGGAGGAGGAGGAGGAGGAGGAGTTACGAGGAGGAGGAGACGAGGAGGAGGCGACGGAGGAGGAGGAGACGGGAGGAGGAGGAGACGCGAGGAGGAGGAGACGCGAGGAGGAGGAGACGCGAGGAGGAGGAGACGCGAGGAGGAGGAGACGGGAGGAGGAGGAGACGCGAGGAGGAGGAGACGGGAGGAGGAGGAGCGAGGAGGAGGAGACGGGAGGAGGAGGAGACGCGAGGAGGAGGAGACGCGAGGAGGAGGAGACGCGAGGAGGAGGAGACGCGAGGAGGAGGAGACGGGAGGAGGAGGAGACACTGATAATGATGATGACGATAATGACAACGATAACGATGATGACGATGACGAGGGCGATGATGATGCTGATGATGGTGATGATGGCGATGACGATGACCACCAATCACGACAACTACGGCGACGACGTCGACAACGATTGCGGCGGCGTCGAAGATGATCTGTTCGGGTGTTCTTAAGGCCGACGACGCCCACGACGACGGCGACGGCGACCACGACGACGATGATGCTGATACTGCTGATGAGGATGCTCATGATTGTGGATGTGATGGTGATGATGGTGATGATGATGATGATGATGATGATGATGATGATGACCATGACGATGCTGGCGATGATGATGATGATGCTGATGCTGGTGATGATGATGATGATGATGATGATGACGACGACGATGATGATAGTGATGATGACGACGATGGTGATGATGAAGCTGATGAAGACGATGCCGATGATGGTGATGACGATGATAATGATGATGATGATGATGATGATGATGATGATGATCATCATCATGATCATCATGATCATCATGATGATGATGATGATGATGATGATGATGATGATGATGATGATGATGATGATGATGATGATGATGATGATGATGATGATGATGATGATGACGACGACTGGAGGGGGGAGGACGAAAAGGACAAGGAAAACGGGAAGAGGGTGCGCCTGAGGGGGGGGCGCGGGAACCCGGAAATCTGGATTTCCGGGTTTTTGCAAGGGGTCCCGCACGAGAATCGGAAATCTGGCGAGGAGGAGGGGGAGGAGGAGGAGGAGAACCACGCAGGAGGAAGAGCAGGGCAGGGAAAGGAAAGGGTGGACGAGGAGGACGAGGGGGGAGAGGAAAACGAGAAACGAGCGCGCCTGAGGGGGGGGCGCGGGAACCCGGAAATCTGGATTTCCGGGTTTTTGCAAGGGGGTCCGCCCGAGAACCCGGAAATCCAGATTTCCGGGTTCCTGTGATCCGGATTCCCGGGGGAACCGAGGAGGAGGAGGAGGAGGAGGAGGAGGAGGAGGAGGAGGAGGAGGGAGGAGGAGGAGGAGGAGGAGGAGGGGGGGGAGGAGGAGGAGGAGGAGGAGGAGGAGGAGGAGGAGGAGGAGGAGGAGGAGGAGGAGGAGGAGGAGGGAGGGAGGAGGAGGAGGAGGAGGAGGAGGAGGAGGAGGAGGAGGAGAGGAGGAGGGAGGAGGGAGGAGGAGGAGGAGGAGGAGGAGGACGAGGAGGAGGACAAGGAGGTGGAGGATACATGCCATAAACATACACTGTTGGCGTTCCGCGCGGATCCAAGAAATCCGCGCGGAGCGCCAACAGTGTATGTTTATGGCGTTGTTTCTTCTTCTAGAAGATCTCACGTGCTCGTGGGTCGTGGGGCGTTCCTTTTTTTCCTCAGCCACACTGCCACGCATGATAATCAGTTCTGGGGATCAGTTGGCGGATGGGCCAGGGCTGCGGGGTGCCTTCTGAGGTGATGAGCGACTGGGACGCGATCAAGACGACCCATGGTGCGGCGGCTGGTGCAGATCAAGATCTACCTGCAGGCACCTTCTTCACCGACGAGGTCCTCGAGAATCTTTCGAGCACTCGCCTGAACGACATGGTGCAGCGCGTGCTCCAAGGCCAAGCGCAGCTACACACTCGAATTGTCCTTACCACGCGCATCTATATCCGTCCATACACGCATTCACACGTACATGCGTACGAACGTGCATGGTCACATGCTACCACGCTTTCTAGCAGACTCACATGGCTACTGCTGGTCCAGTCGTCAACAGTCTCACATGCATGCGAAGGTGCCGCTAGTGAGGGTCAAACGCCGACCCACGAAAATCGTGCGGACCTCCGAAAGTTTATACTCATGCACGTTCTGTCCTCCCTCATTCGCTTCCGCATTCCTCCGCGTCCGCCTCTCCCTCGTCCACTTCCTCCTCCTCCTCATCCTATTCATGAACCTCTCCCTGGGCGCGGGGGGAGGAGGCGGCCGAGTCACGCATGCTCCCGCGCAGACCTCTGCCGCCGCGCAGGCGGTAGCATGAGCGCCGCCAGAGGAGGGAGGAGCAGGGAGACGAGGAGTCTGTTTGGGGTCTTGCCGCGGGTGGTCCTGGGCCAGGGTGGCCCCATCTTCTCCAGGGAGGCCCAGGTGTTCCCCCAGAGCATCCCTCACAGGGCCCCAGGGCCCTAGGATCTCCAAACGGGCAGGAAAAAGTAGGGAACAGGCTGGGCTGGGAACAGATATGGAAATCCCAGAGTTCTCTGACGAGGATCGAGGACTCGAGATTGCAGGATTTGCTCGGCCGTTTGTGGGCAGCAAGGAAAGGAAGAGGTTGCGGAGGAGGAGGAGGAGGAGGAGGAGGAGGAGGAGGAAGACCAGTGCAAACCCAAGACGCACCAACGATGTTACAATATACCCTCCCTCCCAGTTCCCTCTGCACAGGTTCATACACGAATGCATTGCCATTGCGGGAATGGCCCCACAGAAAGACATACAATTGTCTGAGAATCATCAACAGTGCCAAAACACAATTTCTGAGGCTTCAACGCCGCGATTCCACGTTATTGTTCCGTCATGACAATCCGAAATCTCGCCAGAACACCATCCTTGGGGGATTTCAATACCGCGAATCCGCATGATCCTGCGTCCTAGCAGTCCTAAATCGTGCTAGACCGCCGTTCCTGGGACTCCCCCCTACGAATCCTTGACAACGGTTGTAAACGTTTGGGAAACATGGGCGCGACGTTGAGGCGAGAGCCACCTTTTGAAAAGGGCCCGCTTTCCGTCTTTGAAGCCGTTGCAAACTTGTACAGCGAACGTGCGCGGCGTTGAGGCGAGAGGCACGTTGAAACCCATCCGCCCTCCATCCTTGGAGCTGCTGCAATATTTGGAATACGAATGGGCGCGGCGCTGAGGCGAGAGCCACATTTTAGAAAAGGACCCGCCCTCCATCTTTGAAGCATTGTGAAACTGCTGGGACGCACGCATGCAGCGCTGAGGCGAGAGCACCATTCTGAAAACCACAAACCCTCCATCCTTGAAGCTGCTGCAAACTTTGCAAATGGAACGTGCGCGGCGCGAAGGCGAGAGCCACATGTTGAAAAGAACCCGCCCTCCATCTTCGAAATTGTTGCAACTTTACAGCTCCAGGGTCATGAATGGTGAAGAAGTCCAGGACGAAACGCCCAGTCCGCCCTACCGACACTTCTGGGGGTGTGACATGAAGGAGTTATTTGCAAGGAAAAAGAAGGGAGGATGAAGAGGAAGGAGGGTTCCATGTTTTTGTCACGGCTTTCCAATGTTTAGAGGAGTTTCTATGGGCTCCTTGGCGTTTCGGGAAGAGAGGGACGGAAGACGGAGGTTCAGGAAGGAGCATGAAAAGGATGTGACGAGGAGGGGGAGGAGGACGTGGAGGACGGAAGGGCGAGGGAGGTGGAGGCATGGCGGACGAGAGAGAGGGGGGGCAGAGGGGCAAGGGAGGGAGGGGGCGAGGGAGCAGGCGCGAGGAGAAGGATCGGGCGAAAGCAGGCCCCTGCCACCGTGCAAGGCATGGCGCGGGCGTGGGCCGCGAGCCCCGACGGCCTGTGCGCCCCGGGGTGTGCCTGCGGCCACGCCCACGGCGTCGTAGAGGACCCCGGGGGGCAGAACTCGCGGGGGGCAGAGCTCGCCCCTGGCCCCTTTGGCCCTCACCCCGTGCGCCCCGGGGCCTCGTCCCCCTCCTCCCGTTTCCGCCTCTCCCCTCCGCCTCGCGCCTGCGCGTCCTCCTGCCGCTCGGCTCCCCCGCCTCCTCGTCCCCCCCCCCCCTACGGTGTGCTCGCGTCGTTGCGTCTTCCTCCTCCGTGTCGTCCTCCGCTCCCTTCCCCTTCGCATGATGCTTGCTCCCCCTCATCTTTCCGCTCCACCGCGTTCTCGTCCCCCCTGCTCCTTCCCATGACCGCCCCCCTCGAACGTCTCCGCACAGTCGTCCTCGTCCTCCTCCACCTCATTCTTGTTCGGCTTCTCGCCCCCCTCTCCCCTCGTCTGCGCCGTCCTCCTCCTGCTGCCGTTGGCATGAGCATTGCCTCGACGTTGCCGCCTTGATTTCGGGCGAAGATATGAGCGTTGCCCCGACGGTGCCGCCCTGATCTCGGGCGAAGAGAACGAAGAGCATGCACCAATCCTGGCCAGGCCCATGCTTGACCCAGGATCGGTGCCTATATACTAACCTGGCCAAGGCAGGAGGACGTATGCACCGATCCTGGGCTCAGGATGGACCTGGCCAAAATCAGTATGTGTATGTGCGCACAGTTTTTGTCCGCTAGGATTGTGAGCTCCAGGCTTTCCGTCATCCTCGCCCCCCCCCGCCCTCTCGTCCATAGCATCAACTTCTTACAGCCCTCGTCAAGCTTAACCGCAAACATGTCTTACGTGCCGAACTGTTTGTGGGGAGATACTGGACAGAGTAGCGGTGACTGCGAGGTACTTGTATGCGCCGCCCCTCCAATGTCGGTCATCATCGAACTTCCGAGTCGTTCCCGGTCAGACCACCCTTGCCCTGACCCCGACATTGGGAGGGGCGCCTATCGACTTCAAAGGGCGCGCCGACATCGCAGGGGCGTCGTCGCCATTTTTAAGGTTGCTTTTAACGAGGGTCGTAGGCCGAGTTTTGGTGTTTGAGCTTGATGGTTGCTTTTAATTTGCTTTGACGAGGTTGATGTTTGATTTTTGAGGTTGCTTTTTGAGGTCAATGCCTCGGCCGCTCGCCCGCCCCTACAAGTCGCTCGCCGGCACCGAGCCCATCTGCCGACCCACACGTCCACCCTGGCACGCGCCGCTTTTGCCTCCGCCGCTGCTGCGATGCACGAACGCGTCAAAAGGCCTTGGGGCGCGAAAGCCGCCCTGCATTGAAGCGTGGTCAAGCGTGCTCTCACAGGTGATCGTTCTTTGATTCCTTGTTTTGCCGATCGGCGCCACCCCCCCTTGGAGTAGATCTCGGCAGTTTTGGGCGCCTGCTTCGAGCAGGTGGAGTCTCCCCTCACGGACCCACTGCTGCAAACAGTCGCACCAAGCAGAGGTCCGGAGCCAGACCCCCCCCCTCCCCACCCCGTTTCCGTCCAATGTCGAAACGCCGAATAAAAAAACGCTCACCAGGTGCCGTGAGATCTCGTGTTAGGGGCAGGAGACCAGTGAGCAATGCAGAGAGGTGCGAGCGGAACGGGGGGGGTCACGAAGGCAGAGAGATTCGAGGGGAACACATGGGTGCAGCCCGACCACCGCAAGGTCAATGGCCAGTGCAGCGCCACGAAGCACGAGAGTGCACAAGCCATCAAGTGGCCAGACACGCGAGTGGGGACGGAGAAGGGAGACGGCGGCAGAGGCGGGGAAGGAGAGGGAAGAGGGCGGCAGCAAGGGCACTCGCCTTGGATCGGATCTCCGGCGAAGAATGCGTCTGGATGTTTCGCGTTCTAGCCAGAGGCTCTTCGGGCCGAAATGTCCGCGGCTCGAAATCGAACGAGCAACCTCGACGGGACCAGAGGCGGAGCGGCGACATGCAGTGCAGAGCGGGGTCACAAAACAACGGTCGCACCAGTCTTGCCGGGGCCTCGTGTGGCCAACTGAGCCGCTGGAACGCCGAGGTGTGGAACGGCAGCCGAGACCAAGGCAGAAGGGCAACCGCACAGGCGGGCCCGCCCACACACACGCTGTCTCCCCCGACGCGCCGAAGAGTCCGGTCAGCAGTTGGCAAGATCGAGCCAGGACGCGGGCAGGGCGCTTACGGCCAACCCGCATAGTAAGGATGGGCAACCTCCCCAAGGGTACCTGTGCATCCTTGCCTCCTCGGTCCATCCTTGGCCACTTTCGTTGGCCGCGCCCCGCTCGACACGCCTCGAAATGGGCGTCCAGGGCCCTTGCCTCCTCCTCGCGCATCCTTACTTACTAGTTGTACGGGTCGACCGTAGCTTCCCCGCGAAGCCGCGCGGCACGACGGCAGCCACCCCTGCAGGTCGCACGAGAGCAGCCGGGGCAGGCACGAGCTGGGGGCCCCCGGAGTGGGCAAGAGGGCCACCGGCGGACACGGTCCCGGCGACGAGGCGAGGGGGCAGGCCGAGGCAGGGAGGGCCCCCGGGGAAGGGGCGCACGGTCGGGCCGACCACGGGCCCGGGGGACAGTCAGGTGACCGCGCACACGAGCACGCACACAAGCACGCACGTACACACGCACACACGCACACACGCACACACGCACACACACATATACACACACACGCACATACACGCACGCACACAGACACACACACACACACACACTCGCACACACACACACACACACACACACACACACACACGCACACACGCACACACACACACACACACACGAACACACACACACACACACAAACACACACACACACACACGCACGCACGCACGCACACACGCACACGCACACGCACACACACACACACTTTTTCGTCGGTGGCGAGGCAGAACTGCACCGCGATCTGGGGCAACCGGTGCGCGAGTTGGCCGACGTGCAGACGGGGGGAGCAAGATAGATAAGGCGCCACACACACACGCTTCTTTTCGCAGCTGGCAGCAGCCATAACCATCCGGGCCCCAGATAGCGCATCACACACTTTTCCAGCCGGCGGCGCAGAGGGTCCTCGAGCGCGCGCGGCAGATGAAAGTGCTTGTGATCGAGCGCTGTCGACAGCACAGTGTACGAGGCGTTGCGCACTGTAGAGCGCAAACCAAAGGTGATGTGCGAGAGGGAGGCGAATCACACAGACACACACACACACACACTCAAATACGTGTGCGTCGCAGCCACGCGCGCAGCAGCGCAGGCATCGAAGAGCAGATAAAAAAAACACCCACGAAATTGGAAAAATGTACGGAGAATGGACGTCTGGGCGATGGCGAGTGCAAGATGGGCCTGGTCGATGCTGGTGCCAATCCGTCTAGGAGCAACGGCGAAGCAGCGGGGTAACAGTACGGCCAGCTGGCGGCGGACAAGCGGGGCGGGCCGAGCACCGGGTCTCGTTCCCACAGAGAGGCACCGAAGCCCAATGACGCCTCGGGAGAGGAAGACGAAGCGCACACACGCACACACGCAGACACTCGTGCCTTCGCCGCCGCGATAGTGCGTAATTTCGGGGCTACGAATGGTGTCGCAGCGTGCTTCCTCGTCTTCGACTTCTGGGAGCCGTTTTCGGCCCAGGGAACTATCAAAACAAAGAGCCAGTCCTGCGGAAGGGTTCGAGAGTCTTGGGGGCCAGGGACTCGAAAAATCGAGTCGGCGAGGGTCCGAAATTCTGTAAAATGGTGGCTGCGAGAGCTACAGCAGAAGCGAAACAGGGAGTAGGAGCTCCAGCACGAGCAAGGGTAAGAGTGGCAGCAAACGCAAGCGTACCCATCTCATGTGGTTGCAAAGGGGACCCCAGGGAAAGGGACTTTTGAGATGGGCGATCCCGATTTCTCAAGTCCGTTCGGCTTCGCCCACAAGGTCGCTGCACGTCGCTTTCGCTCGCACTTTGCGAGGTCTCAAATGCAACGCCGCGGTCTCAGAAGTCCCTTTCGCTGGCGTAGGAAACGTATCACCATCGGTCGTTGAAAGTAGGTCTTTTCAACCTCCCCGATCCCAATCTGCGTTAGACGCCTTCCTAGTACAAGTGTTGAGCGGTGTTCCCTCTTCCCTCCTCTTCACGGGGCAGGCGGGATCCCAATCTGCCTATAACGCCTCCCGAAGTACTAACATGGATTAGCGACGCATGGATTAGCGACGGCACCCGTTTCCATACACGGGGCGTTCCAAAAAGGGTTTTGGCTTCGAGGATCGAAGGAATTGTCATCTCTTCCGCGAAGGAAGACGGCAGAAGGTCGGCGGAAGGTCGGCGGAAGTAAAAGGAGGCCGCCTCCGCTGGCGGAAGCCGGCGGGTGGCCGGCGGACAGTGTCGGAAACAAAAAATGCGCCCCCAAGAGAAGAAAACGTTTTGGGGTTCAGAGTTTCCGAGATCGCCCGCATAATCGGCGCGCTCCGTCGCCAAATCGGGTGGTAGCGGCATCACGATTCGCGGGGTCCCTTCCCCGATCCGTGGAACTGGCGCCCACGCGCCAGATCCACGGATCCCGAATCCAGGCTGGCCTTCCGGCCGATGGGCACCCCGCTCGACCCCGCGAGGACAGCAAGGCCACCGCCCCGCTGCTGGCAGAGCACCGCACGCTGGCCCAGGACCTGGCCTCGCAGGGCGCCGTCCTCCTGAAGAACGAGCGGGGCGCCCTGCCGCTCAAGGCCGCCGGGAAGGTCGCGGTCCTCGGCAGGGCCTGCGACGCGCGCCACAACATCAGCCTCGATGACCCCTGGTCAGAGACCCGAATCATCAGGGGTAACTCGGGTCAGGGCTAACTCGGGTTCGCTTTTCGGGATTCCGAACCCGACTTACCCCGGACCCGACTTACCCCGGATAATTCGGGCGTCCAGAGCCCCAAAATCATCAGGGGTATCTCGGGTCAGGGCTAACTCGGGTTCGCTTTTCGGGAATCCGAACCCGACTTACCCCGGACCCGACTTACCCCGGATAATTCGGGCGCCCAACCCTCAATGCTTACCAGCCAATCGGGACCGAACCCACCGCGCCTCTGGAGAGTGTCGAGGGCTGCGGTCCGCGGCAGCCCATGGACGGGCGCGCGTTGAGTTCTTTGTTGGGCGCGGGCAGAAGCGAGATGAACCGACGTATGCCAGCGCGTCCGCAGCGCTTGGGGCTGGTGATTCCGTCGATGGTTATAGCGCGCGCGAGCTTGGCGGCTCTCATTGCCGGCGTTGCCAGACAGGGAATTGCAAGTCCGCGCTCGCCCCTCAGGGCCTGGTCCCGTTCCGAACAAACACTGCTGTCCATTTAAATATTTAGTGCGGTGTGCCTTTGGAGGCCTCGCAATGGCTCGGCGCTGATCGGGGATTCCTTGCAGCGCGAGGCGGTGCGAGCATCGCGCGGGCGCGTTGGCGGGCGATCCCGCTAACTGCTTGGCGCAGCTTGTATTTTTGTGATTGTCGTCTTGCGCGTGCAATGTGCCCGGTGTGGCCACTGTGCCTCGCGTGCCTGGCGCCCCGCTGGTTTGCCTGTCGCGCGCGCGGCGCGCGCGCGCTTGCCGCGGGTTGCCTTCGATGTATTTTTGCTTGTGTTCCCTGCCCTCCCGCATTTTCGGCCCTCGCTTTGAATTCGCGGCGCTTCGCGCCATATCCTTTCTCCTCTGCTCTCCCCCCCTTTCCTCGTCTTCCTCTTCCTGATATTGTTCCTCCCCGCTTCGTTTCATCCTTGTCCGTCCCCTTCCTTTTTGCGCGGTGGGCTTTCGGTTTGTAGCCGCGCCGAGGCAATTTCAGCACGCCCTTCGCGCCGCGAGCTGTTCGTTGTCCCCATGCGGCTTGACGTTGAAAATCCCTGTGGTGTAAATCGTATGCTGACGCCGCAACAAGTCTAGCACGCGTTATGGCCCCGTGCGCATCCTTGCCGACGCGTCGTGGTCGCGCGCCGCCTCGCCGACCATTCCAGAACCATTTTCGCAATGTCGGTTGCCTCATAAGGAGCTCAACCGATATCCCACAGAACACAGGCCGCACGCCGCCGCCCAGACTCTTTGAGGGCCGTTTCTCTTGCGGTTCGCGTCTCCATATTTTTGGACTTCCATTGAAGGCCCCTGCGGCACAGGCCGCGAACCGCGTCGGGGCCATTTCAACGCGCCCGCCGCGCCATTCGTGGCCCCATAGCGACCGTCACCGAATGCTTTGTGGGATAGGCCGTTTGCCACCGCCCAGACCGTTTTAGTTAATTCAATGTACGGTTCGCGGACCCCCGCGGAGCTGTGCCAAATGTCCTGAGGTTGCGCAGGTCGCATGCCACCGCGCAGACCGTTGCAGCACGCCCATCGAACGGTTCGGCGCCCAATCATACGAAACCCCATCGAAGGCGTTTGTTGCGCAGGGCGCATGCTGCCGCTCAGACTCTTTTAAAACGCCAGCCATGCGCTCCGTGGCAATATGAGGGGCCCCGCCGGAAACGCTGGTCACACAGGCCGCGCGTCGCCGCCCGGGCCATTTCAACAGTCTTCGCACGATCCGCGGCCGCCTGAGGAAACTCCACTGAAGGGTCGTCAGGCACAAACCGCACGCCGCCACGCAGACCATTTAGCACACACCCCTCACGGTTCGTGGCCCCGTAGGGAATTCTGCCGAAAGCGTTTGTGGCACATGCCGCATTGCGCCGTCCAGTCCATTTCAGCACGCGGCCAACGTGTTTCGTTGCCAAATGTGGAGCACAGGCCGCAAGCCGCCGCCCCAAGCCAATTCAGTGCTGTCTCGCGCGATTCGTGGGCCCACTGGGAGTTCTAGCGAAAGGTTTTGTGGCGCAGGTTGTTTGCCGCCGCCCAGACCATTTAAGCGCAGTCGTCACACGCTTGGTGGCTTCATGGGGAGCTCCACAGGATGCCCTTGTGGTAAATTTCGCATGCGGACTAATTGTGTTCGCGCGTGTCGGGCGGTCTTGTCTATTTTCGCGCCGCGTTCTGAAAGTGTTGGCTCTTTCGCCAGGCTCACTCTGTATTGGAGGGGCAGAAAGGGCAACATCGGAAAAACGGACCAGCATGATGAGGACGATCGATGGCGGGGTCACTATTTGAAGGATGACGCAGGCGAGGGGCGCCTCCGATGAGGGGCATTCAGAGCATTTGTTTGGCATGTGGGCGAGCAGTGTTTCACAGTTACAATATATTTTGGTGCGACTCGGAGCTGTCGCAGTGCGTGGGCGGACGGCATTGGAGGCAGTATCGGCGAGGGGGGCGTAGGGGCAGAATCGAGGGGGGACGAGGGGCAGAAACGGGGGCGGCGGGCAGGGCAGGGGGGGGGCAGAGGGCTTTGCGGGGAAGCCCATGGAAGGCTCCGCGAGGGCTCCCATGGGCCCGCGGTGGGTCCGGACTCCTCCCCGCGGTGGGTCCGGACTCCCCTCGGCATCGTTTTTTAACACGTCTGGGAGGACTGCCGAGGGGAGTCCGAACCCACCGCGGCCCCCATGGGCGCTCCCGCAGCGGTGGGTTCGGACTCCCCTCGGCAGTGGTTTTTGACATGTCCGGAGGGGCATGGCGCGGGCTCGGCGTGGCCCCCCGGGGCCCTCGAGTCCGCTGCGACTGGGGATCCAAAACGCTGTCTGGGTCCCAGAGTTGTCGTGTCGTTGGGGGCATGGGCGGGGGAGTCAACCGATGCTGCCTCCAGATTATGACACTGGGTGTGCGAAAATGAGCTGATGGAGCCTGAGCGGGACCTGCAGTAGGCCGTCCTGGAGCTGTCTTCATGTCTTGTATCAGTGCCGTATCAGGATGTTATGTTTTTTTTTTCTCGGGGGCATCTTGGCGACTCCCTGGTGCCCCATGGGGGAGCAATGGAAGGCTTGGGATTGCGTTGCCGCGGACTCGGTTTGTCTTCGAGCCGTCCTTCGCCTGCCTTGGAGGCGACGTGGAGGCATGTGAGCCATCGGAAGAGTAGTGTGATGGAGCTCTTGGAGGCCGTCGTTTTGTTCTAATTCTCGTGTCTGTTGGGTCCTCGTTGTGAGCCCGCAGCGCTGAACGCCTCCTCGTCTGTCTTCCCCCCCCTCTACCGCCGCCTCCTACTCCAAGTCGCTTCATTTGCTCTTCATGTATCCTTTTTTTGCATGGTGGATCTTTGCTTTGGCTCTGCCAATGCAGTTTCGGCACGCCGTCTGAACGATTCTTGGCCCCATAGGGCCCCGCCGAAGGCCTCCGTAGCACAGGCCTCTTTCCGCTGCCCGATGCCAATTCAGCACGCACCCCACACGGTTCGCGGCCCCATAAGACGGTGACACCGAATATTCTCGCAGCAAAGGACGCGCGCCGCCGCCCAAACCATGTCAGCACACCCTTCGTTCGGTTCGTGGCCCCATAGGATGCTACGCCGAAGCTTTTGCAGCTCGGGCCGCTTGTCGCCGCCCAGACAACTTAAGCACCCCCCTCAAGCAGTTCGTGCCCCCATGAGAAGTCCCACCGAGGGCCCTTGTAACACAGGCCGCCTGCCGCCGCCTAGTCCACTGAAGGTCTTGCTTCGCACCGCTCGTGGCCCCGAAGGGAACTCCGCCGAAGGCTTTTTGGGCATAGGCCGCATGCCGCCGCCCAGACCGTTTCAGTTCTGTATTCGCGCGATTCGTGGCACCATGGGAAGTTCGGCCGAACATTTTTGTTAGTGCGCAGGCTGCGTGCTTCCGGCCGTACATGGTCAAATGAAGTATCCCGCGCATCGCGGCTTCATTGAGGTCAACGCGGAAGGTTGCTGTTGCACGCGCCGCGCGCCGTCGCCGAGAGCATAGCAGCACGTTCTCACGCGGCTCGTGGCTCCACAGGGGGCAACGCAGATGGCTTCTGTCGCACAGGCCGCTTGCCACCGCCCAGTCCGCTCCAGCACCCCCTCACACTGTTCGTTGCCACGCAGGGAGCTCGACCGAAATTTGTCGTTCCAACACAGGCCGCACGCCGCTGCCCAGTGCATTTCATGTTTTAGCTCTTTCAATCGTGGTCCCATACGGAACCCCGCCGAAGGCCTTTGTAGCGCAGGCAATTTTTCGTTGCCTGGACCATGTCAGCACGCCCTGACACGGTTTGTGGCCCCATAGGGAACGCCACCAAAGGTTTTGAAGCACAGGCCGCTTGCCGCCGCCGAGACCATTTCAGTCCTTTCTTCATTCGGTTCGTGGCATCATAGGGAGCTCCACCGCCAGCCATTGTAGCACAAGCCGCGCGCCGCCGCCCGGACCATGTCAGTACAGTCTTCACACGGTTCGCTCGTGGCCTCCAAGGGAGGTGCACCGAAGGTTTTTGCGGCACACTTCGCTTGCGGGCCCGATGTGCTGGTTAGTGTTGTATGCGCGCTGCGTTCTGAAAGGTTTTGCCTCTTCGCAAAAATAAGTATGTGAGTCTGTGTGGGGCTCGTCGTGGCGCTTTTCTATGAATGCGTGGAACTGCGCCCTGAAAGAAGACGAGTCTTGCGTTTGGACGACCGGTAATGTCAGTCATGCCAACCTTGCAGCGCGAACCCTTTTGAACCTAGCGTGAGACGTGCCTTCACCGTCAGCCCCGACCTTTGGCGACACACGCGCGGCGCTGCAGACGTTCCGCAAAACCGACTTCATCACAAGTGTGCGGGAGGCGCGCTAATCGCAAATACTTGGGTACGCAATTGCCAGACGCGCAACAAAACGCAACATGTGTTGCATCGCTGCGCGACGAAAGCGTAAATCTGTGTGCCGGCCGAAAGCATTACAGGACAGCAACACCGTGACACATGATGCAGCCATTTCTGACCACCGCCGGGGGACGCGGTGGGTTCGGTCCCGATTGCTTGGTAGTTACTCAAACCCGGGCGCCGGCGACCAAGCGGAGGAGGGCGCGTCGAGGCGGCGGCCGCCTGCCCCGGCGGCGGTCGTCCCCCCGGAGGCTGCCTGTCGCCGCGGCCGGAGCCGCCTCGACCCACGGGTCGGGACGGAGCCCCTGGAGTGAAGTCGGGCCTGCCCTCCTACAGCGAGCGGCTTGAGTAGGGAACACTCACGTTTCAAAAGGGGCTCGGTCGTTCCCTGGGTTTGCATGCGTTCCGCTGCCTTTTTGGCGGCGAGCCCCCCTGGTGTTCCTTCAGATGTTGGACGCGCGGGGTCACTTTGCCGATGAGGGGCTCGGCCGTTCCTTCGGACTTCGTAGACCTACTTGGAAAAAAGGGGCTTCGTTCCTTATTTTTCGTTCCTTATTTATCGTTCCTTGGGTCAGGCCGATCACTGTACAGGCGGATGTCGGACGAGAAAAACGAAAAGTTGTCCACACACATACCCAAGAATAGTCCAACATTCGTAAAAAAAAATCGTGACCCAACCATTTTCGACCAATCTTGAGCATTCCTCCTGTGGAGGGCCATGCCCGACTTGATCCTGTAGGGGTCCGGGAGCAGACTGTGGACGGCTTTGGGGCCGGGCGGGGGAACTAACCGTTGTCTCAAGTGGCCCGCCTCTGCTACAGCCATGCCGACCTGGCCCGACCACGCCTCTCATCGATAGCAAAAGAGCCCCTAATCTTAAGTCGGGCCTGTGCCTCTACAGGAGGAATATTCAAAAATAGTCAACAAAAATGGCCTGGGGACGATGTGTTGAGAGTGTTTTGACTATTGTTTGATATTTTCGAGTATTTTGTATTTTCGTCAAAAATCCGCCTGTAGGGGGACATGCCCGACCTAACCCTAACCCTAATAACACGATGGGGGCGTGGCCTTACTGAGGTCCCCGTCTTCGCATTAGGGACAATAACTCTGGGCGGTCTGGCCTGCTACATCTGCAGAAGACACCCCCGATCCCTGATGCTCTTGGCCCTCCTATCTTGCTTTCGAGCAGTGTTCGTGCACGTCAGGGTAAGGGTATGACCTAAGGGGACGAACAATGACATAAACATAAAAACTCGGAGGTCCGCGCGGACTCCCGAGTTTTTATGATTATTTCATTGCTCGTCCTCCTATGACCCGTTCTTTCTGCCCTGGCGCCTAGTGCTGGCAAGGGAGTGCGAAGGCAAGGGGCAAACTGTTGAGCCTAGAGGACTGGCTGGATATGGACTACTATGTCGTTGGCGGCTCCGGGAGGGTCGCGGCGACGAACGCCACGTCCGTGGTGCAAGGGCTGAGGAAGTCCAACCTCACCTTGGAGGAGCCTCGACATCTGGAGTCGCTAATATCGTGACGGTCGGTTTTTCATAGATTTCGGGCCTCTCGAGGCCCTTTTTGGGCCCCGGGACCGTCAAAATTCGATCCAGGATGAAAACAGTCTCCCAGGTCGGGAACACAGGTCCTGGGGCCCACGTCACGAAAAAGTAGTGACGTCCGATGGCTAGGAGAGCCTCGTGAACGACCTGAAGCTGGCGAGATTTGCGCTGGCAGGGTCGCAGGTGGCAGTAGTGTGCGGCGGGGTTTCGTCCACGGAGAGTTTAGACCGCAAGAACTTGTCGCTGAATGAGGACATGTTCATATTTCGTGTAATATCCATCGCGTCGGAGCTGCAGGTGCCTGTCGTGGTGGTTGCCCTGGCACCAGGGCCCGTAGTCATGGGCTGGAGACACGAAGCATCGGCGGTTTTGCTGATGTTTCTGTCTGGAGAGCGCACTGGTGATGCTGCCGCGGCGGTGATGACTGGCCAGGTGAACCCGTCCGGCAGACTCCCATTGACGATTCCAGTATTCGAGTCAGATCCTGTGCCTCATTGCAGTTGCCTTAGAGTCTTAGAGTCTGTGATTCTGTCACCTAAGCTTGTCGATCGCAGCCCCCAGATTCGATCATCATGGTTCGAGATGTGATGGGGATCCAAGGATGCGAAGGAGCTCCCAAGACTAAACATGCCAATGCCCAGCTGCCTGCGGCAAGTCCCGCCACCGTGCCAGCCCAGAATTATGTGTGGACGTGATGATGGTGATTATGGTGAGATTGCTGATGATGATATGATGACGACGACGACGACGACGACGACGACGACGACGACGACGATGACGATGATGATGATGATGATGATGATGATGATGATGATGATGATGATGATGATGTTGTTAATGATGATGATGATGATGTTGATGATGATGATGATGATGATGATGATGATGATGGTGAGGAGAAGGAGGAGGATGAGGGTGAGGATGACAATGATGATGATGTTGATGCTGATGATGATGGCGATGATCATGATCATGATCATTATCATGATCATGAACTTGATGATGATGCTGATGCTGATGGTGATGATGAAAATGATGATGCTGATGATGACGATGACGATGACGATGCCGATTAACTATGTCGGTGCCGATGCCGATGGTGAGGAGGAGGAGGAGGAGGAGGAGGAGGAGGAAGAGGAAGAGGAATGCCGTAGCATGTGAGGCAGGTTGTCCTCACTATTTGAGGAACTCTCAGGAACTCGTGTGGGCCGTCTTGGGGCTGCCTTAGCCTCCTGTGAGGCAGTCTTGGGAGTTCGTTTGGGCCCTCTGGGGCCGTTTTGGGCCCTGTTGGCAGTATGGTGGGTATCTGGGGGCCGTCGTGGGGCCGTCTTGGCGCCAATTGGGACAGTCAAAGGGAATGAAGGCCGTGTTGGATCTAAGGGGAGGCTTTCCTAGGCCGTCTTGGGACCGTCGTTGATACCTCTTGGCCCTCGCGGGTTCTCCGTCGGCCATCTTTGAACCCCGTGGGGGCTCTTTGGCCGCCTTGGGGCCATCGCGGAGGCTGAGTGTGGGGTATTAGGCTGACGGAAGCCCGAAATAGCGAAAGTGCGAACCTCGATCAGACACCAAAGGGAAATCGCTGAGTTGGGCTTCTTCGGGCGCTGCAGGAGGCCATCTGCTCTTGTTAGCCCTCTTGGAGGCATCTTGGGCCGTCTTGAGGCCACAGTCGGCCCCTGCGGAGCCACCTCGGCCCGTCTCTGCGGCAGCGTGGGGGGTCCTGGCCCGTCCTCGGATGCGTGCGTGGGCCGTCTTGGAAGTTCGGGACGCGGATCCGTAGGCGTTAACGAGGGATCGTGGCCTCGGGAGCACGAGGCCATTGTGTTTCACACGAGGTCTTGGGTTCGGGATGGGGGGGGATGCGTGCATCACCCCGTGAGTAGGGGCCTCATTCGAACACATCAACCCTACAGAGCAGCACCTGCCTGGCATGATGGAAAGAGCGTTTACGCGGATCGGTTCTAGGAGTCAGCCCCCCATAGGGGGGGGGGTCAGGGGGGGAGGGGGGGGGGGGGGGGGCCCCCAGCGTGGCCGCCTTGGAGGGGCCACGCTCGCAGATGCTCTTGCGGCAGAGGCCTCAAGACGGCCCAAGAGGCCACCAAGACGGCCTAATGGATTTCCCAAACGGCCTAAGAGCGTTTCAAGGGAGCCCCAGACCGCCCAAGAGCGCTTCAGGATGGCCAACGGTGGCCTCAAGACGGTTCAAGAGTGCCCCCAGACAGCCCAAGAGGCCTTCAAGAGGATGCCCAAGAGGGCTGTAGGATATCCCAAACACGGATTGTCTCTAGGTGATTGAAGGTTTGTCAGGCTCACGCTTTGCAGGCTTCCGACGGCCCAAGGCGGCCCAAGAGGCTGTAAATATAGCTCCACGACGGCTCGTGAGGCCCTAAAGAGGGCCCCGAGACGGCACAAGAGGTCCCCCAAAAGGAGCCCAGGAGGGGCCCCGAGGGGCCTTAGAGGCTCCAAGAGAGACCCAAGAGGGCCATGTGAGGTCCCCTAAGATGGCCAAAGAGGGCTACAAGAGAGCCACTAGACCCAAGACGGCCCAAGAGGCCCTTGGGACGGCCCAAGCGCGTGCCAAGAGGGCCCGAGATGACCCGAGGTGGAAAAACACATCATTGATGGTCTTTGGGTGTTTCAATACTGGTAAGGCCTTACGGCCAGTGCCGCCGACCATGAACGGTGCCGCCGACCTTGAACACCGCGACGACGACGACGACGACGACGACGCGCTGATGATTCTGCCGCAGTCCCGCGTCAGGGGGCGGAGGAGGGAGAGGAGGAGGTAGGGGAGGAGGGGGAGGAGGGAGGCGAGGAGGCGGAGGACGAGGAGGAGGAGGAGGAGAAGGAGGAGAAGGAGGAGGAGGAGGAGGAGAAGGAGGCGGAGGGGGACGGGGAGGGGAGAAGGAGGAGGAGGGAGATGATGATGATGAGAGGAGGAGGAGGAGGAGGAGGAGGAGGGAGGAGGAGGAGGAGAAAAGGAGGAGGAGGGGAGGAGGAGGAGGAGGAGGAGAGAGATCAGGAGGAGGAGGAGGAGGAGGAGGAGGAGGGAGAGGAGAGAGGAGGAGGAGGAGGAGGAGGAAGGAGGAGGAGGAGGAGGAGGAGGAGGAGGAGGAGGAGGAGGAGAAAGAGAAGGAGGAGGAGGAGGAGGAGGAGGAGGAGGAGAAGGACGCGGAGAGGAATGTCGGGAGGCAGTGAAGGCGAGAACGCCCGAATCCTCACCCCGGGGACACCCATGATGTGTGCCTCTCGGGGCTTTCTTGGGAGTGTTCTTGGGAGTGTTCTTGGAGGCTATCGGGGCGTCTTGGAGGCCCCTTGGGCCGCCTGGAGGCCCCATTTCGGGCGTCTAGGACCAGTCGTTCGGCGATTCGGGGCCTCCTCAGGTCGTCTTGAGAGCCTCTTGGGGCACTCTTGGCCAGTCTGGGAGCACCGTTTTGCCCGGAGGCCGCCCGGGGAGGGATGGCTCGGTTCGGTTTAGCTTTGGCTGGCGCGCTCGAGGTTTCGGTGTGGTTTCGTTGTGGCTGGCGCGCTGGAGGAGGAGGACCCAGTGACTGCGACGACGACGACGACGACGACGACGACGAGCAAAACAGAACGACGACGACGACGCGGATGTCCACGACGAGGACGACGCCAACGATGAGTCAGACAGAACAGCGTCTTCCACACGCCGACAGGGTCGGCAGATCTGTGTTGTGTTCTCCGTTTCGGGCCAGGTTCGGCCGAAATCGGCTGGGGGAGTTCTGAGACTGCCCCAGGAAGGTCCAGGATGCTCCCACGAGAGCCCCTGGACAGTCCAAGAAGACCTCAAGACGATCCAAGAGATCCCCAATACAGCCCAAGAGAAGAGGGTCCCAAGAGACCCCCAAGAGAGCCCAAGAGGGCCATAGGATGCGCCAGAGAGGTCCAACGATGGCCCAAGGGGGCTCCGAGACGGCCCAAGACGGCCGAGGAGGGCCACATGACTGCCCAAGAGGCCCCCAAGAGAACCCCCAAGACGGTCTCAGGAGGCAAAGCACATGAAGTGTCGTGCGGTGGTCCAGTTATGTTTGGTTTCTTGACCTTTCGGGCCAAGATCGACCGAATACGGCTGTGGGGGCCTGCCGCATTGCCCCAAGGCGGCCCAGGAGGCTCCCAATAGGGCCGCAAGACATCCAAAGAGGACCCAAGACAGCCACAGAGAACCCCTAGAGTGCCATAGGAGGACCCCAAGAGGGCCGAAGACGGCTCCAAGAGAGCTCCACGACGGCCCAAGTCCCCCAAAACGGCCCGAGCGTGCCCAAGGGCGGCCGAAGAGGGCCCCAAGACATCCAAGAGGGCCCCCAGAGGACCCCCACGCAGGAGCCCGAAGACGTCCCGATAGAGGTCCAACAAGAAAGTCTCGCGGCCGCAGAGGGCCCCAAGACGGCCCAACAGGGCCCCAAGACACCCAAGAGGGCCCCCCGAGGACCCCCAAGACGGCCAGGAGAATCCAAAATCAAGGATGTTCGAAAGGTGCAGGCTACACTCTGCCTGTATCGCGTTGCAAAGTCCCACCGCCCAGGCTCCTCAGTAGGGACGGTGATCTGATCCCTCGGGCCCAAAGACGGCCTTGTGACGGGTGACGGATGCAATCTTGACGCCAAGGTTGTTTCCCCAGGACGGCACAATGACGGACAGCGTTACCGCCAAGGCTTCCAAGAGCTCCAGGTGGCTGGAAAGCTTTTTCGGCATTGGCCGGTGATGTATACATGTTTAAACGCGAATGGCCCACGGGCGAGCAGTGGCGCAGAAAGCGCTTAACGCTAAAGCTTCTAATTGCGAACGGTGACGTGAACAGCTCTGAACGCTAAGGCCCCTACGAGCGAACGGTGACGGACAAAAGTCTGAACGCCAAGGCCCCCAGGAGCGAAGGGTGCCACGAGCCCTCTCGGGCACGTTCCTGAAGCGCTCTTTCCGTTCCTGTGTTGGCCCAGGTGGCGGAAAGAGCGAGAGAGGGAGAGAAAAAGAGAGGGAGAGAAAAGAGAGAGAGAGAGAGGTACGAGTAATAACGTTATGGTGGGGGGAATAGCCTTCTGGGGAGGGGTTCCAGGAGAGATGGGCGAAGGAGAGGGGCCGTGCCTAGCACGCCTCCCCTTCGGTCAAGACGGCCCCAGTGAGGCCCCGAGGCGACCGAGACGGCCCAAGGTTCCCCGAAGACGGCCCAATGGAGGTCCAAGAGGGCTTCAAGACGGCCCAAGAGCGCTCCAAAAGAGCTCAAGACCGCCCAAGAGCGTTCCAAGATCGCCTCAGATGGATCCCCGACGGCCCTGAGATGGCCGCAGAGGTCCTCAAGAGGTTCCCCAAGAGGGCTTGACGAGGCCAGACACATGGATGTTCCGTATGTTTTAGAAAGTGTTCAAGGTTCTCGCTTTTTCAGGCTCCCGATGGCCCAAGACGGCCGAAGAGACCCTACAGATCGCCCCAAGACAGCCCATGAGGCCCCCAAGAAGGCCCATAGACGGCCAAGAGAGCCCCAAGACGCCCCAAGGGGGCCCCAAGAGGAGCCCAAGAGGCTCTCAAGAGAGCCCCATGAGGGCCGTGGGAGGCCCCTGACAATGGCGCCGAAGAGG